TATCACCTGAGACTCTATCATTTCTTCTGAATAATAACCATTGAAGTAGTCATCAATAAGTCCTGTAAGCGCCCTAAAAATCATACGTATTTAATTAGAAAGGGCATCGGTTTAGAAAGAAAAAAGGAGAAGAGATAAGGATGCCTAATAACAGTTAAATCAACCATGACAATATGAAAGTGACAGATATAAAAACTAAGCACAGAGCAAGGAGTTCGTGTTTAGACAGAAAAAATAAGATTAGGAATGGAAATAGTAGATTAATCAAACAACATTGGTTTAGGTAGAAATAAGGATACAGAGAATGACCCAAGAACAGTTAATGTTTGGAAGAAGTGAAAGCGATAGAACACAAACTAAACAGTAAACACACATCAAAGGAGATGGTAAATTCATCAAATTCGTGAACATACCAAAAGGCATTTTCTTCTGGCATCAAAAGCAATAAAAGCGCAGCAAAGAAATTCATAGCCTGCAGAATGTATATTGACACAAGATATTAACTTGATATTAATGTTAATTTTACTATGTCTCAGTACTAAAATAAAGATCATGCTATTGGTTAAGAACCAATACCTGACAGTATCCAACAGAAGGATTATGCCTAGCATAAGCAGTAAGCAAACGCCGTAGAGCATTTCTACCATCATCATCCAGAGCAGGATGACCAGGAAATGTCCGAGGTAAGTCCTGTACTTGAAACAAGTAACGGCATAAGAATCCTGATCAACTTCAGCATAAGCCAACGCTGCACCACTAGATAGAGAGGGTCAAGGCTGAATAAATTTTCGAGTACTACCTTTTCTATCTGTCCTTTCCATTTTTCCACAACAGCAATAGATTCTGTAATTGAACCTTTATCATCAACATGCTGCATATCCTCTTGCTCTATGGTGTTTACAGAACTATCTGCAGCAAGAAGGTTTTGGTAATAATCCTTGCAGCGTCGTTTCCTCACACCCACAAATGCTTGCCATAACTGAAAAGTTATTGATAAATGTGACGATTATAATTGAACAAGACCTAAGACTAACGAACTATAAATGGCGAGCTAGAGCATGATATGAAATAGGAAGATAAGGCAGTAATGTAGACACGACAAGATTTATTACCTCCCCCCTCAGAGCCATAGGTACACCGCCGCGAATCAGCACTTCAAGTTCTTCCTTCCAAGGACATGTAGACAGTGGACTTGCATCAGGAGTAACAGGAATGCCAGAGACACTTGTACCATCTGAAGACGAACCATCCTGAACATCCGACCTCTCAACATCATAGAACTCGTCTTCAGAATCATTCTCAGATGCTCCCTTGGCAGATTTGGCATCATCGAATGAAGGTGAAGATTTCACTTTCAGAGCCTCTTGCTCGATTTTTGATAAATCTCCCTTCTTCTTGACACGGATGCTCATCAAGTCTTCAATTGATCGTAAAGATGGTCTGATCTCAGTCCATAATTGCACTCTGTGAACATTCTTCTCTGCATCGGGGTGTCCTTCTTCTTCACTTGCATTATCAGGAGTTACATCAGAACCTAACTTGTCAGTATGCAGATCTTCACCAGGCCCCTTGTTTAATTCCTTCTCTTTTTCCTTCTCACTTTCACTAGATGGTGCATGACTATTTTCAGATGATCCGTTTGCAGGTAACTCAGTCGATTCGACATGATCTACCAAGAAACTGTTCCACCTGTCCGACCTTTCTTCTTCTTCTTCCTGATTGTCAGCAAAGAGTGACAATCACAAGTTAGGTTTAGGGGACTTATTTAGGAAATAATGATAGAATCTGCTTCTAACATTCCAAGAACCAAAAAGAAGCTATTACAAGCATTTGGTATCTAAGGTGTAGTTCTACAGGCACATCAATCCGTGAAGTTATAGGTTAGTCCTATTTTGATATCTTTCACACAGGATTTCTCTATGACTAGGATTCGAAATGGAATCAGCACTCTCACAATAATACCACGGTCATAACCAAATTAAAGGCAAAACAAGCTGTTCCAATGAATCATGCGGATGTAAAATCAGAGTAGAAGAAAATAGGAGCGCTATTATGGATATAGAACCTTGTAAATATCAGCATATTCTCTGTATCTCTGAACATGCTGAGGTCTGACAGGAAATCCATATGCATCCCTGTTCACAAAAAAGGCGAAATGAATTGCCAAAATACTAGTGATATATTAAATACATCAATAACTCAGACGGAATCTCCATGTTTCCTAGACTTTTATACAAAATATAACAGCAAACGAAACGTTAGGAAAAGCTCAGTTCCTGATTTTTCTCTCAAACAAATCGAATTGGCTATCAAAGACCATCTTCACTGAATCATGCCACATTGAGAGCAATAGTCACCTCTGGCAGCAAATCACTAGGATGTACTTCAAATCAAGATCAATAATCACCAAAATCCCAACTAATTGTTAAGAAAACGCAAAAGTAGACAAAAAGCAAGCCAGATTAAAACTCTCGAAATCGGAGATAACAACATTTCGCTCAGCGAGTGTAGCAAAAAGCTAAAGAGAGAAGCGCAAGTTCAAACCAAAAAGAGGAAACAGAAATGTAGAGAGTAAGGAGGAAAATAAGGAGCAACCTCTTGTGCTCGAAGGCGACGAGAGGATTAAGAGGCTTAGAAGCAGCAGCAGCAGCGGCGGCGGCCGAAACGCTCCTCATTCGTTAGCGGGAAAAAAAAAAGAGATCTAGCCGGTGAAGAGTTGAGAAAACTGGTGAGAGGATGAAGAAGAAGATCCAATCTCCAGGCTAGTTGATCATTATCATCGTTACGCGACTGAAGTTGAGAAGAAGGAGGAAGTTGCAGTAGAGAGAGAGAGGAAGTGGAGAAATCACATGGAAAGGGCGAGATTGTCGACCAAGGTTTATTACATGTGTGACTCCCTATTTTGACTGCGTTTCCTTTGACACCGAGTCCAAAAGCTCCTTTTCTCTCTCTCATTATTAAACTTTTTTTTTTTTTTTTAACTATTAACTACTTCCTTATTTTGGATGTAAATGTGAATTTCACAGTTGTGTAATTGTGTTCCAATGTCTTGGTATAAGTTTTATCAAAATATCTCACAATATTATGCTATGACGATTTGATAAAAGAAAAATCATATCCTTATATCGAATTTTGATATGGTTGTGGTGTGGAGTCTATATCACCTGCTTTGAAAGATAGACAAAGTTGTTTTAGATATGGATTAAGGACATCTACGTCATGATGTATCGTAATTGTCAACTCTCATGCTTGTATTCTAAACTCAAGTAACGAACGTTATTAATTTACTATATGATTGGTGTAACAAGTGTAAACGTATGGTTTATCATACGGACCATGCATATTCACCTTGTAGCGAGACCGGTCTCCAAACTCTCTGTTCTACAACTTCAAAAACTAATGAACATTTACAAAAATCTTTGATTGAGGCGATTCATTTTTAATTCTAAAAAGATATACAAGAAAATAATTGTGGGGATTGTAATGGTTGTCGATTTGTCGGTAAAGGACCAATTGCTTTAGGAGTTGGTAAAGGACTTTTCTAGGGAATTAAATCTCGCTAAAAAAATAAATAAACTTTTTCTTAGATTTGCTAAATCCATCGTCTAAGTAATGCCAATGCGCTTTATATGTTACTCCCTAATATATACTATAACACGTTTTAGCTAAAAACACAAAAACAAAAAAAATATCTATTTTTAAAAAGTTCAACCAATTATAAAAGAAACTGTACAATATAAATAATTATATAATATTAAGTTAATCTATAGTTTGTATTGAAACTTAAAAACAAAAAGTTTCTCTAAAAGTATGTTTAGTAGTAGTCTCTCAACGAGTCTTTCACCCACAAAAAATTACAGTATAAAATAAGAAAGATAATAAAGTAAGTCTCTCAGGTGAGATACTTTGAGAATCTTGTGAGAGACTCATTCGACACATATCTCACCATAATTGATTATATATAAATTTTATTTATAGTTTAAATTTTAAATAAATTAAAAATTTATACAAAAATTATTAAAATAATATATTTGAGAGACAAATATAGGTTTTCCCCACTGCACATGCTCTAAAACATCATATATTATGAAACGGAGAGAGTACATTTAATCAAATGAGAAATTTCTATAATATATTAAAATTCTTATTTTAGATACGAATTGTTTGATATATCAATCAATGGACTTTGATATTTAACTTTGATAACTATTGTGTTGAAAACAGTTAATACAAGTTGTAACTTTGATATTCATATAGTTAAGTTCAACCAGAAAGAAACGATTAATTTCAGTCACACTTCACAAACTTAAGATATGTTTACATAACTGTGTTGGAGTTTAGGTGCAAAATCAATAGAAGATGAAGCAAATATGAAAATCCAGATTTGAGAAATATGAAGAATATCCACCAATGGCTAGTTGATTGCACAGTTATAGAACTTTAGCCGATCCAATCGTTTATTGGAATCTACTATTTCTTGTACTGTATATATTTACCTATATAAGTGTATATTTTGGAGTTTTGTGTAGGACTAGTAAGGAACTTAACTTCTTGTTTCTAGTTTCTCTATAATACTCTCACGTTCTCAAACACTTGGTTACAAATCCAAATATTGGTCGGTTTGGGTAAACCAACCCAATGATTATATCACATTCAGTTTGTATGGGACTAAATGATTATCTTCCAAATGTTCACCAAGATTTTGTAAGTGTTTTAGATTCAAACATACAAACGTACGAGGAAGCAATAGAGAATGCACATAATGGAAATGAGCAATGCAGAGACATTACAACGAAATGAGACTCATGAAAAAGGCAGTAGGTTGCGAATGGGTGTTCAAGATCTATCAAAGTGATGTCTCAATCGAACAGGATAAGTTGAGATTAGTACCTATATATGATATGATTCATGCAACCATAGAAAGAAGATTTTTATTACATTTTAGCACATACAGTAGATAAAATCAAAATCAGCCAAGAATTAAAAGAAGGCCCAAAACGTGCCATTTGCTTCATTAACAATCGTCAATCCATCTCGACGATTTTCGGCGCACGTTACGCACCTAGCTCGCTTATTTTCATAGTTAGCGCACGTTAGCGTCTCTCCAAGCTGCATTATTATTGGCCGTTGTGTGTCTCCCATAAAGGCTTAGGGTTCCGGATTCAGGTCGGTGTCGCCACCGCCCCTCGTGTTTCATCTCTTCCTCTTCTTCGTCGGAGTAACGCGGATCGTCAAATTTACAGATCAGCTCTTGTGGAGGATATGGGTGAAGAAGACACCGTGACGGTGGATCAGAACAGTTTCGGTGGTGGCAAAGATTCTTTGCTCCGTAAACGTCATTCGGCGCCATTGCCTTCACCGACACAGCTATCTTCTAAAGTGATTACATTGCCTACCGTATTAACCCTTGGCCGTGTAGCTGCCGTTCCGATTCTCGTCGCGAGTACGTTTGCTTTTTTTTGTTTATGGTTTTTCGACTCTGAATTCTGGTTGGAGTCATTGTGATATGATTCTAATCATCAGATCTAAACGAAGATGCAATTGTGATTTTTCTCAGATCAGAGTTTTGTTGGATTGAATTCGAGAAATTAGAAAACTTTTTTTGAATTGAGCTTATTGCTATGTGTACTTCACTTGTTACCACTCCTTTAATTAATCTGAATCGGATCTTTTGATGTTCAATTCCTGATTTTGATTGTATCTCCTCCCATTGCATTATCTTCATCATCTCCTTTGTTTTTAAAATGTAGCCTTTTACGTTGATTGCTGGTGGGGAAAAACTGCTACAACAAGTATTTTTATTGCAGCAGCCATCACAGATTGGCTTGATGGATATATTGCTCGGAAGGTAACTTCTTTCTTTACCTTTTCATGTTCTTCTGCATAGTTAGACTTCTGTGGATTCCTCTTACCACACTTGAAATGGTAAGCTTAACGGTGAGATGTGCCTTTTCAGATGAGATTAGGTTCTGCATTTGGTGCTTTTTTGGATCCAGTGGCGGATAAGGTGAGAGACCCTGTTCTTAGCTACCTTTCCTGTTTATCTTTTCTTCATCTCAAGCCTTGCTGAAGTAAAAAAGGAATGATTTTTATCATTCTACTGATTTGTGTCATTGGTATGCAGCTTATGGTAGCAGCTACATTGATATTGTTGTGCACTAAACCAATGGTCGCCGTTGTCTTAGGACCAGTTCCATGGTTAGTGACAGTACCCTCAATCGCCATCATTGGTAGAGAGGTAAGATGCAGAAAGTTGACTGTATTCTAATAATATACCATGAAGTAAGGTACACTTATCAGCTCTCTGTTCTAAACTAGTCGTATACTTTTCACTGTAGATTACTATGTCTGCAGTAAGAGAATGGGCTGCATCTCAAAACGGCAAGCTTTCAGAGGTAAAGTTTTCACCATCATGTGCATTCTCTTGGATCTTTTTTCGTAAGTGTTCCTTACTTAATCATGGAAATGGCATTGATGTTGCTAGGCTGTTGCTGTAAATAGCTTGGGAAAGTGGAAAACCGCAACGCAGATGATAGCGTTAACCTTACTTCTTGCAAGCCGGGATAGCAGTTTTGAGAGACTATTACCGTCGGGTATTGGGTTGCTCTATGTATCTGCAGGGCTCTCTATATGGTCTTTAGTTGTTTATATGAGGAAGATATGGAGAGTACTGCTAAAGAAGTAGCAACAAAAAAAAACTCTTTTTCTGGGTTTTTGCATTCAGTATATACACATAGAAGGGAAGATTTGCTCAGGGACATTTCCTGACTAATTTCTCTCTGGATACAAATGAAATTAGCTGGGCAAGCACTATAAGACTCTTATATGATGCTTTAGTTCTGTTTTTCAACTTTGGGCACTAGGGTCGTATTCAGCTTGGTTTGGTTTTGTATAATATCTCTGAATCGCGTTGCTCCTCGGCTAGCACTGAATTTTAATGAAGCAGCAAGCACGATCTTATGGGCAATGACGGAAAAGCAGCTGGTGCAATTTGGTTCTAGTTGGACTCATGAACTGTGAGATAAATGAAAACAGTTGTTGCCTGTCATGTAGATGCTTTTACCGATACAATTTAATATATATAAAAAAAAACTTTGGTTACAATATCTCTTCCCATTTGACTCTTCTGAACCCCTTGTAAATGGAGAAATCCAGATAACCATCTGGTTAGAGACGTGCTTCTGCTTGGACTCGTCTCTTGTATCTTTCAACTAGCTCTTGTGGATCTTGACGGGTTTCGGTGTAAGCTTCGATCTTGTTCATCTCCTGCACAAAAAGGCAAAGAACCAGAGATTAGCATGTGTATGTGAAGATTTATTTAGCCTTATAATGAAAGATAGATACAAATTTCAAGGTAATAGCTTAACCTGAATCCAAAGGGCAAGGTTAGGCCGACCAGATTTGATATCCACATTCATCACGTGACTTAAGATAAGCTGAAATCTCTCTATGAATGGAGCATATGCAACATCAACCTATAGATATAAACACTATTTTTGTCTCAGCATCAAGAGTTGATATGGGTTTAACATATTGAGTGAAAATATAATCGGTAATACCAAACTAAATTGGCCAAGGAAGAAAGGCCCTTCATTGAATTTGGTCAGAGCCTGCTCGATGTAATCAAATGCAGCATCTGAAGAAATGGAAAACAAGATTCATACACTTGGCAAAATAATGTTTCTGCAAACACAGAAGGAAGATAACAACTTCATCTTCTAAATCACCTGCTGCATTACTGTCAGTGCCGTTTAATGTTGATCTCACAGCCTTGGAGAATGAGTCAGTGTAGGAGAGTAACTCATCAGCTACTACTTGCTTCTCTAAACCCTGTTGTTATAGGTTCTAAGTATAGGTTCACTTAATGTGTTAAATAGAGCTCAACAAATCAAAGAAGTCATCGATACTCACATCGGGTGTAAGTGAAGGCCCTTCGAAATTACTGTCAATGTACTTAATCAGGTCAAGGCTCTCTCCCAATACTCGGTTATTGTGCTCTAATGCAGGCACCTGCATACAACATAGAACAAAACACACATAACTCTAAATCCTTTCATATATATATATATATATGCATTAAAAAAGAAAAGTTCACACCTTGTTAGCTGAGTAAACTTTCTCCTTATACCAAGCAGGCCTGTTTTTAAGATCAATCGGTACAAGTTCTATCTTGTTTTGCAGACCCTGCACAAACAAGCAACATAAGAAATTGATCTAGATACATAGTATCATCGATAAGAATGATTCAAAATGCAACCTTGTAGTTGCGAGCAATCCACGCACGCTGAGCAAATGGGCAAGTGTAAGATATGTACAACCTTCAAATCACAAAGACCAAAATTTGTTCATCAACAACTTCTCTAATATCTCCAGAAATGAAGACCAAAAAAAGCATTTAAAAAAAAAACAAACCTTGTTGATCCATCGAACACTTGAACTGGTTCTGAAGAAGAATCAAGCTCCGGTACTCGACTGAAAATTAACCACCAGCACACAAGAACCTTTCAATAATAAAACAAAATTTGGTAATCCCTCTGAGAGAAGGAAAGACATATTTGATTACCTTGAATCTACAATAGCCAATATTGGTTCGGTTCTACGTTTCCCATTGGATTTGCACCACCGCTTCCCGGAGCATGGCCGGAGAATTTTCCGATCAAGATAGAGATATGATGAGGAAGGAGGAGAGAAATCTCTAGCGGATAACGTAAGCGATGGATATAAGCACACGCTTACTTTCAGTCCCACACTCATACCTCACAGCTTTCACTTTCTCAGCTCCCAAAAGGATTTTCCGGGAAAATGGTTTCCACTGAATTTGGCTGCCACAAGTTCCGGTTTGGTTCGATTCGGATAGAATAAGATTTTATTTCGGTTAAAATTCGGTATAGATTGAAACTCGGTTCAAATTCGCATTGATAAAATTCGGTTCGATTCTGTTCCACGATTTCGTAAAACAGAAAATACAATGAGATTTGAGAAAAAATGAGAGGAAATTTACACTTTTTGTTCAGGAAATAATTAAAGAAGTAAAATTTTCACACAATTTGTAACAAAAGAAGCAAACAAAATCAAATTCTGGTTCAAATAAGGAAAAAAATGATCTATAAAAGGGCATTATGGGCTGAGAGGAGACCACCTCCTTTGACAGAGATCGGAGTTCGAGTGGCGAAGTTTGTTGCGTGGAGGAAGACAACAATAACGGTTATATCGTCGTGAAAGTGTCGCCGGATGCCACGTTCTATCTTCTCCAAATCCGAATATCTCATCTCTCTCTTCTTTGCTGCTTCTTGTAATGCAGCTTTCACTAACTTCCGAGCCACACCCTGAAGAATCAAGAAGACACCACATTTCAACAAACAACAAAACTACTCAAACCAGACAAAACCCAAAACTTGAATCGAATTGCAAAATGGATTCAAGAAGAGTGATGTGAAAAGTCTTACATTGCGTGGGCAAGAATTGACAATATCAACGGCCTCCTGGTTGCTTAGATGCTCCCATAAACCATCCGAGGCAAATATAAGAAACTGATCTTCCGGGTGAATCTTATGAACTGTTATAGTCGGTTCTGCTCTCATAATCGGCTTCTCAAAACGTTCTGGAACCCTAAACTTAGGCAATAGCGGTTCTTGATTAAATTCCGCTCTTTTAAGGTATGCGTCACCAATGGATCTTGAAACCTGTATAATCCCTTTAACACGCCAAACTTTGTGTTTCAAGACAACGATATTCGGATCATCTGGATGCAGCAAACGTAACTCCTCTCTCACAGATTCAATACTAGCATTATGCTCTGACGATAGCTGAACAGCTTTCATCTCTTTAAACGGATTCGCGACTTTCCCTAACACAACCCGGGAATCTCCTGCGTTTGCAACATACAACAATCCATTACAAACAATACCCACCAAACAACAAGCTCCCACAGAAGCAATCTGCGGCTTGTTCTTCCATTGCTCCTGCACTAAACCGAGAAACTCCTCCTCTGTTGCGACAAACCCTCTGGTGATAACATCAGGTGATATCCCTCGCTGTTCTGACGTATACCTCTTGATGTTATAAAAGAGCCTATCGTTTACAAACCGAGCAGCCTCGGGACCTCCATGACCATCATAAACACCAACAAAAGTTGCCTCAGGTCCAGAATCATGCAAACTAATAGGACCAGATTCTAACTGGCTATGATCCTCAAGAAGGTTGTTAGCTTGAACCACTGCCATAGAAAACTCTCCAGTGATGTGGTTCCCAGAAGCTTTGTACCACAAGAGACCATCGAGACGGCCATTAGCATCATCACTACCAGGACTCGAATCTTCTCCAATACCAAAAGGTCTCCAACAAGGCGATACAATTCTCCTAAATGTTGTAGATACCATAATTCACATGTCTCAACCAAAAGAACCAGCTATCAAATCGTTCATCAAATCAGTGCTTATAACTATATTATGAGACCCAATCTTCTTGTCAGACTCAATTCCAACTCCACAAACCCAGGATTCAGAATTCAAACACGCATTCACAAATGTAAACAACATTAATCTGCATTCCACACAAATAAAAACAAAACATTTAGTAATCTAGAAAAAAACGATAAAGTCTCCAAATTTCCCAACATAGGAATCTAAAGATTTCAACTTTTAACCCATCAATCTGATAACAAGTATCTGGAGAAACAAATTTTGGTTAAAGAAGAAAACTTTGAATAACTCCATCCACATGGGAATCTAAAGGTTTCAACTTTGACCAATCAATCTGATTAAAAAATGATTTGGTCAAAGAAAACATTGAAATACCTGATGAAATCGAGGATTAGATGAAAGAAATAGGGTTCCTTTTTCAAAAGCTTGGTGTAGAATAATAATCCATCATTCGATTTCAGATCAATGAGGGAAAAGATTAGCAAGAAGATTACTAATACAAATCAAACCTATAAAAAGCGAAAGAGTAGATGAAAAAGGGTTAAAATAGAGAAGAAGACGCGTTTGAAGAAGAGACGGAGACGTTGGATTTGGTTTCTTTAGAGAGAGAAAGTTGCGATAGTCGCGGTCATCGTGTTTATGGTGTTTTTTTTTTTTTTGGTAAATTTATATTTTATTTTATTTTCTCTACCTGTCTCTCCATTTCTTTTTTGACTTTTAACGGTTTGACTTTTTTTGCAACATTTAATAACACTTCTATTTTTTTTATGAAAATATCATCTAACATATATATTTCTTAGATTAGCTATGTCAAACTTGTTCAGAAATAAAAATGACTAACTATAGTGAAAAAGTTAAATCATATTTATAGGTTCAAAATATTGAAAATCATTTACTGTTAAATTTTTTTTTTGAATTAACAATTTTAATATTATTTTCTCTAAATAATTGATATCCCTAAAACAAAAATTCATCTTACATTTTAACAATTGCCATTTAGTGAAAAAAAGTGTATCTAATTTTATCTTTTATTTAGTGAAAAAGTAAAAATACCAGATAAATTTTTGAAGATAGTAAAAATAAAATGGTTTTATGTTTAACTAAAAGCATTGCTAGTCTCATTTTGAACAAATGGCTGACCAAGATTTCATTGAATAGGATTGAGTCAAATGACAAACTTTCTTTCTCATAAATTTCACCCAAGTTTATAAGCCCTTTGTAAGTACAAATCTGAAACTAGAGAATCCAGCTTTGAGATAAGCAATCCAAAAGAAAAAGAAAAATAAAAGAAGATAAAATCATATCTCTATAATCCCCAAAGAATTGACATATCATCTAAGAAAGAATGATAAAGGTGTAAAAGAAACCAAATTATAAAGAAAAGACCCTTATACCAAGAAATCAGGACTTGAGAGGAGATTCAGATGCTTGCTTCCGATTGTATCTTGTAGTATTGTTATCTCTCCTTCTTTCTCTAATACCTTCTCCTCCAATTTATCTACCATCCCTTTCAATGTCTCGTTCTCTGAGTTCAAAAGCATGTTTTTCTCACAGCATTGTTTCAAATCTCTCCATATCTCGTCTCTTTCACTAGACACTTTTGACAATAGCGCGTTCAGCCTCGCCATTTCTTTCGCCGCTTCCTGGAGATTGCTTTCGAGCCGGTTTATGCTTTCCTCC